ATTTCGATATCATCCAGGCTTAACCCAGAAGCTTTCAGTGTCTTCCTCCATGTCATTAATAGAGATACTGAGCAAGATATATCCCAGGATGGGTTCCCCGAGGAGCTCCACTTGTAACCAGTGACTAGATAGAGTACAAACCATTAACCAGTAGCCTTTGAGCCTGATGATCCATTCATTTTTTAATGCATCCAGTAGTCCTCCTGTGTAAACTGTAGCATCTCAACTTGAATGCAAGGATACTATGGGAAATGGTGTCAAGAGCCTTGCTAAAGTCAAAATGAGGTCTGTTCTCCCCTCCTCCACAAATTGAGTCATTTCATCACAGAAGGTGGTGAACCACTAAACCATGTCCTTAAGTGCTACATCTACATATCTTTTAAATACCTCAAGTTGGTCGGGCATGATTTATCCTTGGTGAATCCATGCTGGCTTTCCCAGTCACTTTCTTCTTCTTGTGTCCAGAAGTAGCCTGCAAGAGGATTTGCTCCATGATTTTGCCAGGGAAGAAGTGAGGCTGACCAATGTGTAGTTCCCCAGGTTATCCTTGGCTTTTTTGAGGATGTGTGCAGTATTTGCCTTTATTCAGTTGTTTGAGACTTCCTCTAATCTCCACAGCTTTAGAAGTATGAGAGAATGGCCTTGCAGTGTCATCAGTCTCTCCGCATCTTCTCAAAGATCCCATCTGGCCCCTGACAGTTCTATAAGCTGAGATTTCTTAAGAGATCCCTGGTTTAATCCTCTTCCAGTACTGGTACTTTCTGTCCTCCTTGAACTCTGTGGGTTCAAGTGACCACAAGACCTTGCTGGTCCTTTGAACCCACAGACAAGTCCAGAGCCTTGTCTGCATCCATTGTCAGTAGATCACCTGACATATTCAGCAGCTGATGCACATTTTATTCTTTTATTGCTCAGGTGGTGGTAGAAGCTCTTCTTGTTGCCCGTAACGTCCCTTGTGAGTTTCAAAACCAGGCGAACTTGGGCTTTCCTTAACACCATCCCTATGTGTCCAGGCAGTTTCTCCTTAGTTGCTTGTTTCTGTTTCCACCACAAAGCTACCTCTCAGGGGAACCCACAAACCAGTTCCCTGAACAAGCTGAAGCCTGGTCTCCAGCTCTGAACTCTGCTGTTCTTTTCTCACCACCCTCAGGATCCTGAACTCAGTTATTTCATAGTTACTGCAGTGAAGGCTGCCATTGATGACTACATCTCCAGTCAGTTCTTCCTTGTTTGTGAGTAGCAAATCCCAAAGAGCACCACCTTTCACTGACCCTGTAGGGTTAACAAAGCCTGGGGTCCCATCTCATTCACTTTTCCCCCAGAGCTCTGTAGTTCTAATCTGCACTAGGCAATGTCTGTAGTGTCCACATAGATGTGCAACAATGGGTAGTGGGAAATGGAAAATCGTCAGCCTCTGCAGTGTAATGGATTGGATGTGTCGTGTGTCTGTCCCCCCCGAAAAAAGAAACCTGTTTAATAGCATGAATATTTAGCAGATGTGTGTATTCATCCTTCACAGGAAGGAATCTCCAACCAGAGTTACGCATTGCTGCTTCTTGTTCCCTGCTAATGCTTTGCCAATTCTATGAACTTAGATCTGAGGGTGGAGAAGGGGTGTTTCTGCTGCTGCAGGAAGTCACAAATTTCTAGCCTCCCCATCTCGGGATCAACCTCTCACTCAAGCGTAGCCTTTGACTGTCCCTCCTGTCTTGCATTATGAGGCTCAGGATCTTGCCTCTGTGAAGACCCTGCTATGCAGTGCATAAATTTACAAACCTCCTGGAAATCAAATTTTGGACCAATTCATCTCCTCATTCCTTAGCCCTAATAAAGGCTCACTGCATGCACCAATATTTGTTATCTTCTGATATAATAATAATCATTGATGCAGGTGGTTGAAGGGTGGTGAAGTTAAGGAAGAAGAATGAGCTTCCAGAAGTTTTTTCCCTCTAGAAAAAACATACGTATTGTTCTAGTGTTGACTAGTCTTGTGTCCTTTTGTGTAGCTGCATCTGTTCATTCACTCTGATGCTCAAACCCTTTATTTTCACTTTTTGGCCAGCTGCAATATGATGAGGGCTCTGTGAGCTAAAAATGCTGCCCTTCCATCTGAGGCATGCAATGTAAAATAATCAGGAGGAAATCAAGACAGAAAGTAGGATTGTGAATATGGTTGCTGCAGCTGGAGTCATACAGAGATAAATCTGAAAATGAGATGCAAAATTGAAAATGAGTATAAATACCTTTCATGCCAATAACCAAACAGCATAGTGGGGTGAACTTAAAAGCAAAATGTAGGTTAACTCAGGAAATCCCCAGGCTTACCTGTGCATATGAAGATTTTGAGGAACTATAGAAAAGAACAGAGGGTACAACTGAAGAATTAAAAAAAGAAAGGTCTTCTAGAACAGTATGGTATTTTGTTTTGCTTTTCTTGGTTTAGTATGAGCCTGAAAATGTTACAGGATAGGCAGATAGATGATCATGGAGATGAGTGACTCTTCAAGTACAAAGGAATGTTAGACTGTAAATGCATTTTAAGGATGGATTTCACTGTGAAAGAAAAAGCTTGGGAAGGCCCTACAGTGCTCTAACCCCATTAGTCACAGTGGAAGAGGTAAAGGGCATATTAAAAAACTAAATGCACATGGAAAAGGGGTGACAGAAGGGTGGAAGCAGCAGCTGTACCCTGGAGGGAATGGGCAAGCTGGAGAAATAGGTTGCAGAAGTGAGAAGGCAATTTTTGTTGTGACTGGCCACCGTCTAAATTCCCCCTCTTATTATCTGTATTAGCTCAATGTTGCATTGACCCTCCCTCTAGCAAGCAGAATGAGGGGAGGAGGCTTCCACACTTGTCACTATTGGTTCTTCAGTCAGATGAGGAGGATGCACTGATATGACACTAGTTATTTTACTAGTATGTGGGTCAAAATAAAATCTGGCAGCAAAGCTTTTCAGAGACTGGGTGAGTCCTTCCCTCTTCTGTGATGTGATTGTACAGTCCATGAGGAACCTGGGGGAGTTTGTTTTCCTTACACTACTACATGGTGCACTGCAGAAAAAAGAAATCCTAATTCTGATGGAAATGAAAGCCTGACAGCTTCACCTTCTCACTCCTTAGTGTGAGGGAAGGCTCATTGTGTGCACCAGTGCAGGAGTTCTATTACCTTCTGATCTAATAGAAAAGTGAGTTAACTTTTTCCACCTTAAAATGCCTACAATCTTTTCTTCCCTCCCATATCTAAAATAGACTGCCGTGGCACTGAAGTTTCCTAAGTGGGTTTTACTGAAGTTCTGTGCCAGTAAATGACAGTTCCAGTGTCTTTTTCCTGCTACATGAAAAAAAAAATAGTATCTTTAAATATGAAAGTTAATCAAGTCTTCTTTTATTCCAAGTGGCTGTTCTTGCAAGCTAATTAAAATAATTCAGATGACTGAATAAGATTTTAATTGACTTAGGATTGCAGTTTAGAAAAATACCCTATTTCTGTGTGGAAAGAGTTTTTGGGGTTACGCCAGCATCCTAGCATGCAAGACAGTTGAATTCAGCTGTTACTGTGTCATGGATGTGCTTCATAACTTTGGGAAATGCCTTCACCTTTCTGCAAAATGTCAGTTTTAATGGTCCATTCTCAGACCTTGGTTTTTTTGTGTGTCCATTAAAGTGAAATAGGTTCTTGCACACTCAGAGGGTTCCTGTAGGTTCAGAAATCTGTCCTTGAGGCTGAGATTCTGGACTTTGTAAGCTGACCCATAGGGCTTGTTCCCAGGGACCTGGTCTTACCTGAGCTCTTGCCCCCCACCTCTCCATGCCTGATGCTCTTTTGTGCCAGCACTGGTGTCTGTGCAGCCACATGTTCATGTGATGAGGAGAATGACTAAATGAAAATGTTGGTACATAGGTAGATGGATTTACAGATAATTCTCTAGCCCATAATTTCCTTAGCTCACTGGAAAGCATTGTATACTAATGGACGGGAGGGGGAGGTAGAGCTTGTCTGGGGTTGGACCTGTTCAGAGAGCAGGTGGTATCACACTTTTGGCAGTATCTGCCACAGAGATGGACTTAGAGCAATTATAGGATTGCAAAGCCGAGTTACTGCTTGTTAGGGAGATACCTAGGCTTGTAGGGAGTTGATGGCAGAGACCACCTCTCACCTAGCAAATGACCTTATTCTCACACATCAGGACTTCCTTTCAGCATTCTATCACCTGCAGTTGGGTTTATTTGGTTTGGTTTTCCTTCCACAAGATACAGGGATTTCCTGCATGATGTTTTCTTTCATGAGCTGCTTACGTGTGTTTGCCACTTTACTTCCTCCAGCTTGGATGGAGAATTGTAAGTAACATGTTGATTTTAAAGTTTACACAAGTACATTTATATATATTCTCTGTCATGAACTTTATACTGCTTTATCTAATTTTTATATTGATGTAATATGCAAGTCTCAACTTCCTTTACTGTAAAGTAGGAAACCAGAAAGGGGAGGGTGAAGCTCAGCATTTTTTGACATGCACACACACAAATGTTTGTGTGTTTGAAGTACTTCCTTTCTTCAGTATATTTGCATGCCTTTAAAAGTGATTACTGAGTGTATCTGTAGTCTTCATGGTAGGGTCAGCAGTAGTAAAACATGGCTTCATTGAGAAGAACTAGCAATTCAGAATAACCCAAGGGCTATGTTCAAAAAAAGAGAAACTCTCTTGCAAAGTAACTTGCAGCTGTTATGCCAAGTCTGTGTACCACTTAGGTCAGTGATTTAGCTGCACTAGATGTGATCTTTATCACAGATGTGACCAGTTGCCATGTATAAAAAAGGAAGTAATTTCATGTGCCATTTCCAATTACACGTTGCTCTGAAATTGTGTCAGAATTGAAATGATAGTATTGTCTAAAGCTGAGTTCTCTGAGAATCTTTCTAGGGATTCTTCTTTTTCTTAATGTTTTGCAGTATAGATGAATGATTTTGTAATAGTTTTTTCTTATATCTGATTTTCAGGAGGCACGATCTATCAAGAAATTACCTACCTTGATTCACTCTGGTTTAGTGGCTGTTTATGGCACGGTTGTTTTGAATCAGATAGTTCTTTTTTTGGGAACAGATGATGGACAGTTACTGAAGGTAAGATGAGTGTACCGACTGCTGCTGTGTTCAAGTGAGTAAATGTTTCCTGGTTTAGGCACTGTATTATAAACAGATACAGCCCCCTGAATCTCTATTTCTTTTTTGTTTGTTTGTGAAGTAACTGCTCTATTGTTACTTGGAGAGCAAACTAACTTTCCAAAGCAATTATGTACACTGCTTAAAATTCATTGAAACATTTCATTCAACTGCTAATACCCACAGTATCAATTTATGGACTGTCTTTTGTTTCCTTCCTTTTTTTGATTTGCCAGTAGAAATATTAAATATTGTTAGATTTCGGAATCCTATGTATTTGTTTGTTAGCCTATCTATGTGATGTGAATAGCTGTCTGTTAGAGAGAAAAGTCTTTGCTTCTGAGCAGTTGACCTACTCTAGTTTAAATCAATCACCTGGAAGTGAAAGTCGTCTTATCTCATTATTAAACTTTTCAGCCATCCAGTCAAATGTCTTTTATGCTTTAATTTTTTACTGGGTTTTGTGAGAATATGCATTTCCTGTCTACACTGCAAAAGATGACTCTCGTTTTTTGGTTTTATTAAGCAGACACTTGGAGAAGAATGTAGTAGAGAGCTTGAAAAGCTTTTGCCCATTTGATTTCATCGTGCTTTTAATAATGAAAAATGAAATGGAAGTCTCTGTGTCTCCTTAACACCGTAGAGGCCATGAACATATCTCCCTTGTTTAGTCGTGTTTATGGAAAACCTTCTATCAATGTTGGTGTGCTTATTATCTTGCAAAATAAATTTTCTGAGTCTCTGGTTCTCTTGGATTCTATGCAAAGGGTGGTAGAAATCTGTAGAGTTGGGCAAGGTAAGAAAAATAAATACCACCTCAGATGTGTACTCACAGAAGCCACAGAGAACACTCTGTCCTGAAGACAGTTGTCAGTAATGTGCATAAGTTCCTTTTTACATTATGTGTCTCTGGATTTTAATTTGTTTCCTGAAGGCTAATACCTTCTTCTCCATTCGTAGGAGTTCGTAGCACATTGTGACTGGGATATAGGAGTATCTTCCACATTGAGTTTCCACAACAATCAGGAACATACTCAGTGGAAGTGATGTTTCATATACTAAACCAGTGCCAGATTCAGTGCAAAATGTGTCTAGCATGAATTTGGTTGAAAATCTGTTCTGGTGGTCTTTTCCTCCATCTTTTGGCACTGTCAAAGCCAGTGCAGTAGGTGTATTGAATCAGAGCACAGTAAATCACCTCAGAAGCTTTGATGTAGCTGAAATTATGCTTTTGTTTAAAATACTGACTGATCAATAGAAAGACTTTTAAATAATTTTATTTCATGTGTTTCAGGCTATTCTTAATGAGGATATGGAGTCTAATTGCCCAGAGATTTTATATGAAATTAAGGAAGAAACCTCCATTTTTCCCAAACTTCGACTTGATCCAATAGATAACAACTACATCTATCTGTCCTCTGCCAATAAGGTAAGCACAATATTAAATTGAATAATAAATTGAAGCTAACTGCTGCTTTAAGAATTTATGTCACTTTATGAGTGAAGTATCAGTTTGGGTCAGAGTTAGACCTTAAAATATCCAAACTGCAGTTTCCAACTTTACATCTACTATCTGTTTATGTTGTCTAAGTTTGGGCTCCACTTCTGCAGAGCTCAGAGTAGCTTCCACTCTGTGGTGCTGCCCACTGATCCAGCAACACCCTTAGTTCATGCTTATTATGTCATTCTGTTGAGAGGGTCTTTGTTTCTCTTTTTCCTGGAGGCATCATGCAGAATCAAGCTTGGAGTAGCAAACAAAACTTGTAGACTCTTTGGAGACAAAGTTCCTCTGAATTAGCAATCCAAGTATTGGTAGGTCAGGGTCTGCTAGGTCAATTATGGAGTTCTTAATGTGGAGAAATCTCTTAATTTGAGATGGGTTTGAAGTCTTAGTTCTGCTGAAATCAATGATAAAATTCCTATCATCTTCAGTTAGGCATAGACTTTAAGACAAAACAAAAACAAGCAGAAGTGATTAATGTCTATACATAGTGAGGCCAAGGAGTTGAGCAATCACTGGGAGCTACTGCATGTGAGCAAGCATGTCAGAGCTGCATGTCAAGAAGAGAGAGACTCCCAGGAGTTGGTGCAGTTGTTGCTGCCTGTCCTGCATCAGGGCTGCCAAGTATCAACTCAGCATATTCCTTTGTCTCACCAGCAGAGGGGAAGATGGCAGTGAAAATGTAAAGTTTGTCTGTCCATCTTAGCTGGACAGGATATTACCCAGCACTTGGTTACCTGCATTTACAGTAAAATCACTTTTCCATCAGTGAACGTAGCATTTTAACCTGCTGTATGAGTGGGTAAGTTGGTAGGAGAACTGATTGATATTACCTATTCATCAAAAATGCAGAAGGAATCAAAATTTCAATCAATCAAAAGTGTATGTAGATATTCAAAGTAACGATTTTCATTTTCTGTAGCTTTGAGGAATATAGCGGAACAATAGCTTTTATGAATAAATGCCTCTCTGATCATCTCTTGGAGCTTAAACAAGGCTTCTACACTGTCTTTGTTAACTTGCTAGTAGTCTATGAAGTTGGCTGGTTTCTGGACTGATCATCTCACATGCCTTCAGATAAATTGAATTTTACAAGATACAGCTGAAGAACCCAGTAAATACAGTTTTGCAGAAAGCCGTGTGTCCTTGTGGCTGTTTCAAACATTTGGAACTTTAAATACTTGCAAGTTTGTTAAAAAAAAAAAAAAAAAGTTTGAGTAAGGAATATTTTTCTAAGATTATTGATTAATGTTGTGATTAATAACATTATTTGTATTTGTATTCAATATTTGTAATCAGCTTTCTCTTTTTCTTTTTCCTTTCCTTTTCTGAAAATGGCTGGCTAGGATATTCAAGCTGAATGTACAAGTATAGCTACATACAATATAGCCGCAATTATCTACATTTATTTATTGAAATGGCATTTTCATGCATGCTAAGTAGTTGCATGCGTTTGCTCTAGTGTGCACATGCAGGAACCTGCCATGGTGATGCAAACACAGATGCATTTTGTTTTGCGCATGCATTTTTGGTTGCACCTTCATCAGTCATTTAAAAATCTCAGTTTTGATGAGAGGAAAATGGTGTTCTGCTAAGCAAAGCATCATTTGTAAAATATACCTCTTTTCTATTGTTATCTATAATTCACTATGCTAATCAGTCTTTCTTGCATTAATCTGTCCATCCTGGCCTTTGAGTAGTAGAACCAAATTGTCATTATCAGAAATGATTCATCATCTGATGGCAAAATACAGCGTGTGTAAAATAGGCTGCATATTTCTATCCAAAGGTCTTCTGGCAGAGGGGAATCCATAAGGAAACTTTCCTAGTGGGATTGTGCTTGGTTGCTGTCAGATTTTTAATGGTAACCCTCAATTTCCTGGTTTATGGAGGCTGTTTTAATTCAGTGTGTTACTGCATTCTTTGATTTTAGGTGAGAAGAATACCAGTTGCAAATTGCAGTAGATATGTTTCCGAGCAAGAATGCTTATCTGTAAAGGATCCGTACTGTGGGTGGTGTTCTTTGACTCAAAGGTATTTTTTTGTATTTTGGACTTTCATATAAAAGCAATGAATTATCAGTCAGTGTACATTTTCACTGCCTTGGGGCTATTCAGCATCAAGATTATGTATCTAGTGAGTTTTTGTGGAATTCATAGCCATAAATGTGAGACACTTTATTATCATGTGAAAGGGATCTCTGCCCCTTTTAAAGACCATGTTAACCCTCAGATTTTTTAGATCTAATCATTAAATATATGTTGGGCTACAAAGAAGAAATTACTTTGTTTTTAGAACAGCTGTTTCTGCTTTCCAGATTGATTGAGAGATAAAATTCTGTACTCATGCTTGAGGTATCTTAATAGCTGGGAGCAACTTGCATGGGTAAATGGGGAAA